CCTTGTTTAAATCATTTAATGTGTTTTCAGATGATTATTCAGGTTCATACTTAGGTTCGAGTGCAGCTGGTGAAGATAATGAGGAAGATGTTATCATTGGCTCATTCAAACCATCTGTGGTGATTCCTGAATCTCCTATGATGGATGCAGCTACACTAAGTACACCTCCTTCCTCGCCAGTCCAAAAGTCTAGTTCTAACACCAAAGCCACTCCCCTTACTCCCGAAGAAGCTGAGATTCTCTCAAGGGACAATGTAACTGCGACACAAACTTTTATGGAATTTCTCTTTCCAGAGCCGTTCACAAATGAATTTGTGGCAAGTACTTCTCATGATCGCAGACTGTCTGATGGGGGTGATTCGGCAGCGGGCAGATTTGACAACATCACAAATCTTCCAGTCACAGTCAATGATATCAGTCATCCAATCCCAACCAGTGTTCAATGCGATCATCCTATCCAGAACATTATTGGTCCAATAGAAAGTGGGGTTCAGACCAGAAGTCAAAGTGGACATGTCAATGAGTGTCTTTACTCATGCTTTAATATCCCAAATTGAACCAAAGAATGTGGACATGGCTCTAAATGAACCGAGCTGGGTGGATGCAATGCATGAAGAGCTCAATCAGTTCGAGAAGTTGAAAGTATGGCAGTTGGTAAAGCTACCGAAGGGCAAGAAGTCTTTGGATACACGTTGGGTGTTCAGAAATAAGCAGGATGATAGCAGGATGATTGTACGCAACAAAGCTCGTTTGGTCGTTCATGGATTCAAGAAAATAGAGCGTATTGACTGCACTGAAGTGTATCCTCCTATGGCGCGTTTTGAATCCGTTCGTATATTCCTAGCATACTCTTCCCACATGGGGTTTACGGTTATCAGATGGATGTCAAGACAGCCTTTTTGTACGGAGTTGTGAAGGAGGAGATTTATGTTGATCAATCATCAGGGTTTGTCAATCCAAAGTTTCCAAATCATGTCTACAAACTGGACAAGGCTCTATATGGTTTGCATCAGGCTCCTAGAGCTTGGTATGTTACCTTAACTGATCATCTGTTGGAGCACGGGTACACAAGGGGAACGATCGATCAGACGTTATTCATCAAGAAAGTGGATGTAGATTTGATTGTCATCCAAATATATGTAGACGACATCATTTTAGGGTCGACCAACACAGAGTTATGCAAAGATTTTGATGAAGTAATGAAGAAAATATTTGAGATGAGATCGCTGGGTGAAATGACAATGTTTCTAGGGTTACAAGTTAGACAGGATTTGGCAGGAATTTTACTATAGCAAGGCAAATATGTGGAAAACATGCTAGAAAAGTTTGGGTTTAAAGATTCAAAAATTGCTTCCACTCCAATGGAAGAAAGACCACTGTTGACGCTAGATCTAGAAGGAGAATTCGTAGATCAAAATGAATATTGATCGATGATCGGATCTCTGATGTATCTGACTGCCAGTAGACCCGACATCATGTTTTCCGTCTGTTAATGCGCTCGTTATCAGGCTAATCCTAAACTTTCCCATTTAATTGATGTTAAAAGGATTTTTAGGTACCTTAAAGGTAGCCCTAAATTGGGTCTTTGGTATCCTAAAAATTTCGAATTTGATTTATATGCTTTTGCTGATAGCAACTATGGAGGTTGTGATCTTGACAGGAAATCTACATCGGGTGGATGTTAGTTCTTGGGGGACCGATTGGTGTCATGGCAATGCACGAAATAGCAAACAGTGTCAACCTCGACGGCTGAGTCTAAATACATTGCCGCCTCAGCCTGTTGCTCTCACGTTATCTGGATTCAACACCAATTGTTGAATTACTGTTTGAATTTTCTTGACATCTCCATTTTCTGTGATAATGACGCGGCCATTTAAATTGCCAAAAATCCCATTCAACATTAAAAAACCAAGCACATCGACATTAAAGTTCATTTTATTCGAGACTCATATGAGCGTAAGCTCATTCGTTTCGAACAAATACACACCGATAACAATGTGGCGGATTTGTTCACCAAACCTTTCAGTAAGGCTCGTTTCGATCTGCTTGTGGGTTTTCTGAAAATGATTTGTTTCAAAGACTAATTTTTTATTTTTGTTTGTTTAAATTTATGCATTTATTTTATTTCCTTTCTTCCCTATGCACAAATTTATGGGGAGAAATCAAAATTTTTAAAAAAAATTAAAATTATATAATCAAAAATTCCAAAAATATGACTTCTTTCGTAAGTGTTCTTGGGAAATGATATGAAGTTTAGTGTTAAAGGGCAATATGAAATACGTGTAATGCACTGAAGCTGAATTGTTTAGACTCTGTGTTCAATGTGCTAGTAGGCACGAAGGATTCAAAATGAGAGGACAAGGCAATGTTGACAATGAAAGGACTTGACAGTGTTAACTCATCTGGACTTAGATAGTTACATTTGGACTGACCATACGACGCTTGGATAGATTGAGCATTGAGATAAACAAGGGAGCCTGTGAGATACATTAAAGTTACTTATCATCTAGAACTGTGGCTCAACACTTCTTCTACATACGGACTTATGTCCTTAATTCTGGTGCTGATAGGGTGACTGGGGGGTTCTAATAAAGTAGGTCTGTGTGAAATTGTTTTTCTTTCTTATCCTCTATGCCAGTTATATGTTGCCCCATTTGCGTGATTGGAAGAGATCTGACCTGCGACGCAACATATGCATCTCTATTTCTATGCATCTCTCTATCTATGCATCCCTCTATTTATCTATGTCAGTCATATGTTGTCCCCTCTACGTGATTGGAAGAGATCCGACTTGGGACACAACATATGCACATTTGTATCTCTCTATCCCTCAATCTATGTTAGTCATATGTTGTCCCTCTACGTGATTTGAAGAGATCCAACTTGCGATACAACATATGCATCTCTATATCTATCTTCTCTATCAAATAATTGATTACTCACCTAAAGTGAAGAGATCTTTGGAATTCCTTGATTGCTAGGGTATGTCGTGAAGTGGGGAACATGTTCTAGTGCGCTTAAAATTGAATTGGTTCATGACTGAAGGTTGACTGTAGATCTCGCTGCTGAATTTAAGTGGAAAACAATATCCTTGGTCGTCGTCAGCAAAATGGTCCATTTAGGAATATAATTGCAATGTCTTGTCACTTATAATTTGTCCAAATTGCAAATATCCTTTGTGTTTAAGTGGACCACAATATTGGTGATTGACCAGAGCTATCCATGCAAGTGTGTGCTGATAAACGATATTAAATTGTTTGACAACTTTTGATCCCAAAAGTTTTAAATTTAGTTATTAAAATGTGTTTCTTTTATTTGATTTTATTTTTGTTTCTAAAATTTTTATTTTTATTTTATTTTCATTCATTTCAAATTTTAAATTTTAGTTTTATTATTTTTATTTTAAATCTAAGAAACGAATTGATAAATGAATTTTATTTTGGGGTCCACCGAATTCGGTGGCCCAAGGGCCGAGAACCCATTTTAGGGTTTTTCTTCTATTTCAATTTCTTAATCTCCGCCGAAATCGTTTCTTTACTTCTTCATTCTCTGAAATCCTAAGCGAAAACCCTCTACACACTGTTTATCTGTTCATGGAGTTTTTTTTGCAGGTGTTTAAAGGTTTTCTGGCGAGTTAACGGTGATTTTCTGGCAAAACTGTTGAGGGTTTTAAAATTTCGAAACGTCGGGTTTTTGGTTTGACCTGTGTCCGACCGAAATCGATCGAATCGGACCGAAAACAGTTTGATCTGAACGAAAACAGCTTAATCTGACTGAAATCGTCCCTCTTTGACCGAAATCTCAAGTTTGACCGAAATCACTTAAGTTTGACCGAAATCACTTAAATTTGACCGAAATCTCAAATTTTCACCGACCGAAATCGACATTTTTTACCAAACTTTGAATTTTTGAGAAAATAAAATTTTAATTTTAATTTTCATTGTTCTCACTTGGCTATTTGGTGCAGATAAATGGCAGATCAGTTGAAGTTTGTTGATTCTCACAATATCGTTGGATATCTCCTGGATCCACCTGTCGCGCACAATGAATTTAAATCCATGATCGTGGGTTTGAATAATTGCATAATTTCTCACGCTCTACGTGTCAATCCAGTCATACGCAAGGTCCTGATTAATGATTTCTGAAGGAATGTATCGTTCAACTATGCAGGAGCGGATGGTGTTGGTGCTATTGAATCCTCCGTGAAAGGCAAGCAGATTATTATAACAGAGCAAGTCATTCGGGAAGTGCTTCAGTTCGGAGATCAGCCTGCTTTACCAATAGAACTCCTTGCTGCCAAGATCACAGAAGTATTAAAGAAGAGGAATTACAAAGGAATTTTTCCTCCAACAGTCAAGAAGCTACTTCCCCCTTACTGGAGATTTTTGGCCCATACTTTTGTTAGCTGCATCTCTGGAATAAAGGGCGGGTCAGATGAGATAAGCCAAACAGCAACCTCAGCCTTTGTAGCACTAACAATGGATTGGGAGTACAATTTCTCAAAAATTGTTTTTGATGAAATGAGGAGCAACCTTTCTGGGAAAAAGAAGGATCGTTTCTTGATGTATCCTTGGTTTTTACAAATGATCTTTAATGTCATGCATCCCGAGCTGGAAAGGACCCCCGATACTCTTCATGTCAAGTCCCTGGGTCCAAATTCCTTTGAACTCATGAAACAAGTACGAAAAGAGTCAAAGGTTGTTTTCAAAGGAACATAAGCACTGGTGAAATTTGTAAAATTCGCAGAGACAGAAGGTGTTCAAACTGCTGGTACTCCAATTGCTATGGTGGCCGAGGAACATGTGGCGCCATCAAAATCAAATCTCAGTTTTTCGTTTGAGGTTTCTGATGATGATGATGATGATGATGATGATGATGATGATGATGTTCGTATGTGTGAACCATCGAAGGAGCCGGTCAATGAGGCTATGATTTCTCCAGCTGAGGAAGAGAAAGAAATCAACATTTTCAAGCAACCAAACGATCCAACTCCCGAATAGATGGAAGCCCTTATCGAACAATTACAGTCAACTACGAGGAAGCCTCCCCAAGCAGTTCCTGTTACTACTGAGTATCCATCTAGGAGTGATAAACACGATTCAAATGCCTCTCTGATGCCAAGAAAACGAAGACGTAGAGATCAAAGGTCGGGAGTGCTTATTACTGAACCAGTACAACAGCCAACTTCAATTGTTGAACTAGCCCAGGTTTGAACTAGCCCAGGTTAATCAAGATGATTAAAGCACAACTGTTGAATCAACCCAGGTTAATCAAGATGATCAAAGTCCAATTGTTGAACCAGCCCAGGTTGATCAGGATGATCAAAGCCCAATTTTTTATGAAGACTTCTTACCTAATAAGGAAGCTTTTGCCTCAGGAAGCTCTTCTGCCCCACCACCTCCAGAGCACAATTATGCATCTGTCAAGTTAGCCAAGCTACTTGCTTTTCAAGACTCTATTCCTCAGTCAAGAGGAAAGGGAATATCTATTGGCTCAGCCGCACGGAGGTGATGAAGACTCTCAACAAACCAGTTCTGAGCTCAAACAAGAGATCGTAATTTTTGAAGCAGGAGTCCATTGAGAAAGACTTTCTGATTGGAAATTTGGATGTGAGAGTTTCTGAGCTTGAAAAGGAAAATTCTCAAAAGAGTAAGCAGATCTCAGACCTTCAAGCCAATCTTGGTGGGCTGACAGCTTTCTATTTTGATCTCGAAGACAAATTAATTGGAAAATTTGGTGATGAGTTCAAAACTTCAAGTTCTGATGATGAAAAATCTTCAGAGACATCTGAAAGAGTCATGGTTCGTCCTACCCCACATTCTAACCTTGATCAATTTCTATCTTCTGGCCCTGTTATAGTTGAAGAAAGAAGGGAGAAGCAGAGAAAAGTTGATAAGTTGAGGAAAGACAAAATGCTTCTGATGAAAAACTCTGATCAGAATGCACCTGGTGATCACCCAAAGATGTTTATCAAAGAAATTGGAAAGAGAAATTTTGCTAACAGATATGGTGATCATTCTGGAATTCGTATTTAGGGATATGAAGCTGATAAGAAGATGTGGATTGTAAAACGAAAGAGTGGAAACATTGAGTACTATGCGAAGAATATTGGCTTTGTGTCTTGGACAAAAGTTTATCTTATAGAGCTGGTCCACGCACCATTCCACAATCCAACAAATGAACCCACGGCATGGGCGTCTAAGAAGTTCTTAGAAGACAAAGCAAAGCAGGACTTTGAAGGCTTGAAAATAGCGTCATCGTTCACTAAAAAGGCCAAGGGTGTCATTGATCCTTGTACCAACAAGACTATGGTGAATGATATGTGGCCGCCTACAAATAAAGCGGAAAGGATCCCTATCATGTGCGTGTACCTGATAACTCCTTGACTGATTTACTATATTGGGTATATGATGAGGCTACAACGACTGTCGTAATCAAGTTGAAAAAGGATCAGATTCGTCTTCTTGATCCTAGGGATTTGCTGAAATTTGGCGAGCATGACATTTATACTTTATCCCAACATCAGCTTATGGTGGAAAATGAAATGTTTGAAGCTACTGCAAAGGCTTTCACTGGGATGATAACGAAAATCATTGATAAGAAGCTATGGGCAGGAGCATTAGCTGATTCTGATGTTCATCTTGTGGAGAAGCCGTAAAGTCAGCCAGCAATAAACCAAGGGGGAGATTTTTGGGTCATATTTAAATGGTTTATGTTGGGCTTATAGTTTATTATTGTACTTGGGCTTAAGGATGTTTATTGTTAATGGGCTTACGGTGTTTTCGGTTATGGGGACCGAAATCACATAGTGATTTCGGTCAGCATGGGCTTTGGCCTGTTAAGGCTTTTGTACTAGGTTAGTATAAATAGCTTTTCAGCCGTTTAGGCGTTCTAGTTGTTCATTATTATGGTATACGGTTGTTAAGAGGTTCTTGGTGTACCAGACGATTTCATCTAATAAATGGTGTGCATTAAGAGTTATTTGTGTGCTCTTGAATCACTATCTGATTTATATTCCGCATTCTTTAGATAGTTTGATTGATATCATATTGATCTAATTGTTTTGGGACTTACACCTACATCAAACTAACAAATATAATGATATGACCAATAACATTAAAGTATATATATATATATATATATATATATATATATATATATATATATATATATATATTTCTTTTGCTTAAACTAATCCTCTAATATATATATATATATATATATATATATATATATATATATATATATATATATATATATATATATATATATATATATATATATATATATATATATATATATTATAAGTTATGAAAGATTTTAACAGTAAAGTGGCACCTTTTTTGTCAATTTTGGTCCTCCAACTTACAACACTGACCCTTCATCTTTATGCTTTTGTTCACAAACAACCCGTTCACTTTGGTTTGAATTTTTCATAACCCTCGCCTTTTATTACATATTATTAGTATTTTGTCTTTTGGCAGAAATGGTCCCTCATCATTATTATTATTATTGTTAGACAAAATTACACGATTGGTCCCTGTTGGTTTACCAGATTTAACATTCTCTTTTTGGTTTTAAATTAATGTTTTATTTATTAGAAAATACCCACCCAATACCATAAACCCACCCACCATCCATGCCATCACCACCACCACCACCACCGCCAAAATTACATAAATGGTCCATATGGTTTACCCATGGTGACAAATTCAGTCCCTACTACCTGAAAAGACCAAATTACCCTCACATTAACGGACAAAAAGCAATCAACATGCTACTTTACTTTACAAAGCAATACCTTCCGACCCCGGCAATGCCGGGGAATCTTTTCTAGTATATATATATATATATATATATATATATATATATATATATATATATATATATTAGAGCATTAGTTTAAGCAAACTAGAAATTTTAGAGGATTTCTAGACTTCAACTAAGAATGCTGAGAGATGTTTGTGAGATGTGTGTGTCTATTATATTTTAGGCAATACACCTGAAATGACACACGCACTAGCTTACTTTAGGATAAGATGCCTGATTTGCTTTTATATACTAAATGGTTTGAATTATAGCAAGCGTTAGGTTGTCTATCTAAATTGTTATTATCTGAATAAGTTTAATGTATGTTGCCAACCTAGAATTAGGAAATTTTATGTGTTCAGGTTTCTAATTGTTTAATTATGGTATTAGAACTGCCATATAACTTTTCGGAGCGATAAGGAGAATTATTCGTCTAAACCTTCCCTATCTTAATATTCTTGTCTCGGTACACTGAATGCCTGATTGGGTGTACATAACGTCATGGTGAGGATACGAAGCGGATTGGGAAACGATAACAAAAACCATCAGCAACCTGATCCCATGTAATCGAGTGTGCGCCTAAAGCAGTGTCGGTAGCTGAACCTATCACGATGGCGATAATTAGGGCTCTGTTAGCCGAGCAGAGGGGAGAAATGAGATAGCTCATCCGAGAAAATGGAAGAGAACCTATTGCACCTATTATGCAACCTCAGCTAAATGAGGATCAATCTAAAGATTTGAACTATAGTAGAACCGTGAGTCAAGCTGCACCATGAGTATTTAGGAGAATTGACCCGGATAAAGGGGTTGATAGGAGAAAATGCAAGTATAATGACTTTAATACTTGCAGACCGTCATCTTTTACTGGGAAGGAAGACCCAATTGAAGTTATGGATTGGATTTCGGAAATGCAACTGGCCTTCGTAACATGTGGTTGCATGGGCAAGTTGCAGACCACCTACGCAGTAAGGTAATTCAACGGCTCAGTGGTATGTTGGTGGAACACATTGGGAAAATTGATAAGCCCAAATGAGCCATTGCAATTAACATGGGCAAAGTTCCTGGTGCATTTCAAATAGAAGTACTATTCAGCTCAAAACATTCTAGAAGTAGAGAACCAATTCCTAACGCCGAAGAAAGGCAGCATGTCCATTGACGAGTATACTAATGCCTTTACAGACAAAATGGAGTTCGCCTTGTGTATCCTCCTCGATGACTATCAAAGATAGATAAGTATGCCAAGGGATTTCCATAGGAAGACTCTGTGCCGGTGCATCATTCATCCACTCTAGAAGCAGACATTTGGGCTGCATAGTCTATGGAAAACACGATTAATGGGAGGGCTGCCGATAAGAATGAAGTTGGCGAAAAGTAGAGGAGTGAAGGACTCCTAAAGTCTAACAATAAGTGTAGACTATCAAATACTGACCTCAACAAAATGAAATCTGGGGGAAATGGTGAAGCGAGTAGGTATGATAAGTCCAAGAAGAAGGAATTTGGAAGATGCGATTGGGAGATGGCTTACTACAAATGTGAAAGAGCTGGTCATTATTCTAGAGATTGTACGTTTGATGACAAGAAGTGATACGAATGTGGAGGTAATGGGCTTACTTCGAAGAATTGTCCAAAGAAAAACGAAGCAACAAGGTCGAATGTGCCACCGAAGCAAAGGCAAGAGCATACCTAATGATACTTGATGAAGAAACATGAGGGCGGGAATTTGGGGCTACTTGTCAGGAGTACTTGAAAGAAGGTGATAAATGATTAGTATTAGGTTATGAGGCCTGATGTAGTAGACATATAGCATAAATAAATCTTGTAATCGTTTTCAAGAAGTAATACAATCCCTACTTATGTTACGTATCTGATGTGTTGAGTTGCTATATGATGTTATTTTATGGTAACTTAGTGAACTCCAAGACAATACTTGGGACAAGTATCAGTAGGCGTAAAAGGTAGTTGAGGCCTATACTACCGGAAGCATAGGACTCGCATTTTGATCAAGAAAAGTCACAAGGTTACTAAGACTCTAAGTAGTTGAGCTATTTTGTTGATCTCAATAATTACCTTTCTTTCGGTAATGACTACAAAGATAAATATTATTCCAACCTTAGTGGTCATATTGAATCGAGTCCGACTAATTTACGAAGTAAGTTCGACGAAGCGTCCAACTTTTGATAGAATGAAAATATGATCAAAGCGATCAATATAAGTCTCGCAACCATCGTGCAAATTAAGCAGCATGTAGCTAGAAGTGTTACATCATAGAATATGATTATATCACATTAGAACATGAAGGAAGGTATCGTCCATGTTGGAGTCTGCTGAAAAAGACCTGAGTCTAGCCATTACATCATACGATGAAAGGTCATTAGATGCACGACCCATCGTTCTGTTACGATAGTCGAAGTAAAGACCTTATCTTAGGATAAGGCAGTTCTATGAGGAGCAAGAGCCTCCAATAGAATTCGATGTAGAAGGAAGAACATGTGCAGGATTGAGCACCATCAACAGTTAAGAAGTCTAAGAGTTAGAAACTTAATAGAAAGGACATAAGAGTTACGATTATTACCTAGTATGGAAAGGTAACAAGCAGAGAAATTATACAAGTTCTGTTTTGCTGATGATTCCGAGACATAATCATCTTAAGGGGGAGATAATTTTAACACCCACAAATTCGAGCTAGATGCTTAAGATATTAT